TCCCCATCTGCATCTGTGATTGTTGGTGCCTTCCATCCAGTGAGAATGGATCTCCAGGCTCTCTCATCAATGGCTTTCACTACTAGAAAAACTGGCTATTATGACGCCTTAAGTCGTCACTATATCCGCTTCTTGTGACGCTTTGATTGTTGTGACGCCGAACAAAAGCGTCATATAGGTGGCCGTCATAATATCTTTTCGTGACGGAGGGAGCGTCTCAACAGCCACACTATAATGACGCCATGATGCGTCCTAACTACACATATTTTGTGACGCTTGTATGCTGTCACGTTATTAATTTTGAACTACTATAACCCCGTGTTTTAATGACTCTTTAAGCGTCCCAAAATATGAAATAGTGACGATCTCAAGTATCACAATAGAATTATTGATGATTTTAGTTTGTTGTATGTCCTAATGACGTTATTGTGCGACAATTCACAATTCTTTTCACATCTAAACTAACATACATTAAATTGTTGATCATCAAAAAAAAAATTAATCATCCACGAACACAAAAAAAAACAAATTACATACATATACACCAAAATGTGCTCCTTGCTGAATCTTATTTATTTGAATTGTTCAAAATAACAGAATTATTTGAATAAAAAGTATTCCACATCTAATCTAAAATATAAAAGAAGAAACCTTTTTAATAGTCCAATTAAACTGTTACATTTGATTCGACTGGCTGGTTTTTCAACGGGATGTCATGTTACTTGTTGTGTGACGTCCTTCCATCTCTCACTTGATAAAAACTTAGCAGCGTTTTTGATAACCTGGTCGCGAGATAAATGTGATTAGTGATCGAAGAGTAATGTAAGGAGTAGAAGAAGTTATGAATCCACTGAAAGATTGAAAAAAAATCTAACATGTTGTAGAACATATAATCTTACTATCTTACAAGACACTTCCTTTCTTTCCGTTACTGCGAAATTAAAATAAAAAATGACTACTGCACTTTTGTAATCGAAAACATTATTAGAACCTTAGATTAAAAGTACATAAATTGAACAACTTACAAGATGTACGGACTAAGGCTGTGTAACAGGCTCTTCGATTAAAAGCACATAAAAATGGCAATATATATATATCAAACATAAATTCAGACCTACATAGATAAAGTCTATAAAATGTTACCTGTAGTGCTTGAATGTGTAGATTCTTGGAGCAATCAACACTATCTTGGACGGATTCAGTCACGATATTCTTGTTCGAATAAAGGAACTAAACCTTGCTTCAACTCGAAAGTAGAATAAATTACGATAAATGAAACAAACCATACTTCAACCTGAAATTAGAGTTATAACATGAATGAAACAAACCATACTTTAACGTATAATTTATAAATATATATATAAATTACAATTTCCTTGAGAAATTAGTTTACGACTTGTGCAAGCAGGCCCAAAATTTGCAGCATTTCCAAATTGATATCAAAATATTAATGTCTCTTTTGCCTTAAGGAACCTATCATATAAAATCAAATCATCAGAAGTTATACATATAATTTGATAACACGTAATTTCGCAAGGAAAAGTGATAAAACTAAGCATAGGAACACATTTCATGTTGTCCAAATCCTCATCTTCTTTAGATGATAAAAATACAACAAGCACATTTCACCTATTAACTATAAATATACATACACAAGACTCATTTACTATCTTTCTACCCTGGCAAAATCCATATAACAATCAATATATAAAAAGACTCATCACTACATATCAAACATTCCAAATTTGCCCTCATAATTATTTATTCACCGGAAAGCTAATAAAATAACTTGATTGCACTCGCACCCCGATAAATTGTTGGATCTCAATCCGATTATTCCAATTTATTCTATCTTTTGGAAAAACACATAAATAAGGCCAAAAAATAATTGTGTGCGACTTGTAAGAGAGAGGGAGAGAAAGAGGTTTTACCGGCTTTAATCTTTCTTCTTTCCACCGAATCGAAATCGAAATCATCCATTCCTTCTGCCTGACTATGGGTGAAAGGAAACAAACTACAATTTGATGATTCAAGAAATATTCATATCCAGTTCTTTTATCAGAAAAAAAATAAAATCCTAATCTGAAAACTGGGTTTACCGTTTCGAAGATTCATAAGAGATACTTCGTCAAGAATTAATTCCGTGGCGTAGGAGGAAAATCGATTTCGAATAGTGAATCTAGGTATTGAGAAGAGAAAAGGGGCCGAGATAGGGGAAATGGGAAATGGGGTTAAAGTTTTCTACTGCCAAATGCTAAAGGCCTCGATATGGAGAAGATGGTTATTTTCTTATGAATAAATATAGTGGATTTAATTTAGCTATTAAATATTTTAGTCTTTTTATAACAATTAATAGAGCATGTTTAGACGGTTAATAAAAAAATACCGCAAGATAACGAGTCTATTGTGACAGGAGATATATAGCGTCATATTTGTCTATTTTTTCAGAATTAATAAAATAAGTAAAAAATAGAAAAATCAACTTGCAACTCACGGCGTCATAATAGATTGGTTCTTGTGACGCTTTTTATAAGGCGTCATATCATGGCGTCATTAAGGCGTCATTAAAAGCTGTTTTTCTAGTAGTGGTATGCCCTCATCTTGACTTTCCAGTAGGTGTAGTTTGTGCCGTCGAGTACAGGAGGTCGCATAGAAGCAGTCATTTGAGTATCCATCACGAATTTGTTTCTGAAAAAGAAAAATAGGAACAAACACTTAGTATACGTCAAGTGTTGGCTCTTGATGCCAATTGAAAGAATTTATGGTCCCGAATTCGTATTATACAGAGATGTTATCTAAAATGTTATGACACTTGAGACAACATGCAGCGGAAATATAAAGATTAAAAGACAAACACTCAGAAGTAAAAATGTTCACAAGTAAAGACTTGTGAACTTGCCCTTTACAGGACGGAAAAATATATTAAAAACAGTATTCTAAGAATACAAACTGAAGAGGTGCGAAAACTTCTTCCTTATGAATGAATCTTTTTCAAGACCATTCTTACAATCAAATCTAGATACTAAAAGAAAAATATTAAAAATTCTAGATTTCAAAGAATGTACTCATAAGGAGTACGTACAACAGATCCTAGAAAACACACTAAAATTCTCGAGATTAAAACTTCAGCTCTATTTTGTTTCCTCGAAATCTGTATTAATCTTGAGTCTTGAGTTTGGTATTTATAGACTTGCCAAGCTTCCACTCCTCAGCCCATGATCTGCAAGAAAACCAACCACAAGAGCACTCAAGATAATGGGTTAGTGGGTTAGTTAGAAAGTTAGAATAAAACCCACAATTAAACCCACTAATCACTACTTAGCCCACTAAGTCATAACACTTAGGCCACTAAGTAATAACTAAAATTTAGTTTGAAAGTAAGAGAGTTAAAAACACTTTTGTAAAATATAACAACGTGTTTCACTTTTGATTAGGCATTAATATATGATTTCTAGCAAAATACTCCATTAATTGGAATTAAAGTAACTAAAGATGCATCGCATACACGTTTTGGGTATTATATGTAAGAAATTATATGCTACATCGATTATTTACTCCGAATATTTATTAATTGTAGATCTGCAATTATCTAGTGTAAATAAGCTGGTGTAATATATATATATATATATATATATTCTGATGTTGAAAGATACTATTTCATTGAAATTGAATGACATAATAATTTGTTTTTGTGTGTGTGTTTTCGTTGAGAGGGACGTATCAATTCAATGATCGAACCATAACAAATATGGCACTGAAAAACATGGTTTCTTTCAATAATTCAATTTACATTTATATATATACACAATCGCATAACTGCAAATTCCATCACATTTTACACTAAATAATAAAATATTAATATTTCACTATTTCGCCATTTATAGAGAATATAATTTGATCTTTCGTCACATTTCACCAAATACATCACTAAATTATAAATTAAATGTTAATTGTAATTTTAATCTATTTTATTTCCGAAATATTGATTGTCGATACGATTTTATGTAATAATGTTACTGACTATATATATAATTGAAAAGTTATGATAAATTTCAAAAATTATTGAAACATGTATTACGTAATAGCAATAAAATATTTTCTATTGAAAACTAATTCATTAATTAACATACATATAGTTACGTAAATATGTTTATAAGTTGGTAATCACATGAAATTAGTTAATATAATAATTTTATATGTTAACTATAAAATGTTGTTTATTACACCAAATCCTATTTGCACTTATACATTTGATAGGAAAAATAGAATTTGGTGGAAAAAATGATGAAATAATGGAAGGGTGCGAGATGCAAATTTCTTCATATAAAAATCCAGGTGAAAACATATGATTAATGATATACTGATATAGGGTTTGACTATATTGGAAGATTAAAACTAAATCACCATAATCATATGGATTTAGGTTAGGGGATTAAACTAATTTAAGTGTAAGAAATGGGAATGGTGTTAGGGTGGAAGATGGGAAATTAGATGCTACACCTGATTATTTACACTGGGTGGATTTGAATCATAGATCTACACATAATCAAACATATGCACCGATGTGTATCTGTGCTTAGTAGGTAATTATTTAACTAAATTTACGGTTCAAATACAGCCAATGTAAGTAACCAGGTGTAGTATGTAAATCCTGTGCAAAATGCCCTTATTTTTTGCTATTTCTATATCTATTACTATTGTTTCTTAAAGATATCCAAATATAAACTTCCGGTGTCTTCATTGTGCATGGAGCATTATTTCTTTCATAAATTTACATTTTTCCAATTTGTTAATATTACAAAGTAATTCAATATATATTAGTTTCTAAATTATTTTTCTATTTTTTTTTACTATGTTTCATATACAATTGCTACGAAATTATGAAGTAACAAATATTCTTGGTTTGATTAATTCTTGATATTTTAGATTATACTAAGATTGATGTATACATATATTTTTTACTTATATTATTCATATATGCAAAATAGTAAAAATGTAAGTATGAACAAAAAAAAAGATTATAGAAAACATTGAGCATTAAATTGTTCATATTTATAATTTGCACCTAAAAGGCGAATCCCTCGCCCCAGGGCCCCCATCCCTTGGCCCGATAAGGATTGATGGAGGATGTAAATCATGGTACCGTTAAGGTAGCGGATCCGGACCTGGTGCCCACAAGGAACCAACCCTCATTTGGAGTTGAAATTCCCACACTATGGCTGCCAGGATTCGATCCTAGGACCTTGCACCAACTTACCACCTCCGGAACCAGTTGAGCTACACCCATGCGGGCGTTCATATTTATAATTAATTATATATCAAAGGTAGAAGGAGTTTCTGCAAATATTAATGGATTTGTAGCTGTATTCAGCCTGCTGTAAATTCCGCTTGCATGAATGGCAAGTCACTTGCATCACGGCGGCCTTCATTTGCTCCGCCGCCTCTTCCTTCAGCTCTCTAGCCTTTTCCATCTCCGCCTGCGCTTGCTGCCGGATTCTCTTGGCCCTCGCGAATTCTTCCTCCGCCACCTCTATCTGCCGCCTCGCCTGCTGCCTCGCCACCTCCGCGAACGCCTTCTCCGCAACCGCCATCCTCAGCTGCTCCCGCGCCTGCTCTTTCATCAGCCCCAACGCCGCCGCCGCCGCCGCCGGTGCAGCCGCGGCGGCGCTCCCACTCGACGAATCAATAGATAGCTGCAGCTGAGTTGACTGATCCTCTTCGGGCTGCTTCGTCGAGGTACTGCGAAGCTGGAGTTCCAGATTCGGCGGCGTTGTGGCGGCGGCGCCACCACCTGCCGCCGCCAACAAGAATATTGGTTCAGTCGTGGACGGCGGCTTAGGCGAAGGGAGAGACGCCGGCACAGCAGCAGCAGCCCATGCGTTGGGATTAGTGTCGCTGGAGGGGCTGGGAGTAGTTGATAATAAGCACGGCGGCGGCGGCGGTGGTGGTGTACGGTGGTTTTCTGATCGGAGCTGCCCCATGCTGCAAGCATCCTGATGCTCAATGAAACTCTCCACCCTGCAATAATAAACCAACAACCACGCATTAATTACCTAAATACTACTTTAAATTTTAATTTATTTTATGTATATATATAATATCACAAAAGCTGGAATAATATTCTTGAAAAGTGATTTATCAAAATACAATAAAAATCATAACTAAGAATTACTTATATTAAATCAAACAATTGGAAGAAAACACCACCACCGCTTTAATTACATAATTAATCTTTAATTATCCGAATTCCAAACATACAATTAAGGATAATGTATTTGAATATTTCATGCACTATATATGTACTTATAAATTATACTAGTCAAACCCTAGTCAACGAAGATCTTGATTCTTTCCTGCACATATATCTTTCAGAAAATGATTTGACACACACAAAAACACACACACTTGAAATATATATATATATATAGCTACCAAACATATATTCTGCGGCACTGATTACAATACAAATCTCTGAACAGTGGGACTAGATTCCCTCATCCCCTTCTGCAACAATTATATATAATTATATATTCGTGTAATTAAGTTTATTTAATTAAATCTATTTTTAAAAAAGAAAAGATTAAAAAAAAAGGAAAAAGAAAAACCTGGAGAAGACGCGGCCGCAATCGCAAGAATGGCCACGTGTCCCACAGGTCTTGAGATGGGCTTTGTAGTCTGACTGGACGGCGTAGCCCTTGGCGCATCTCTCGCATACCCACTGCCTCTGGTTGCTGTGTTTCCGCCGGTAATGCTTTTTTATCCCGACCAGATCTCCCAGCGCGTGCCGCCGGTCGTGGTGGAGGCAGGTCGGCTCCGGGCATACGAACACCCGCTTCCCCGCCGCCGGAGTCTCCCGCTTCAGCAGCTTCCACGGCACCTTGTGGCGGCGCCGGTGCATCTGCAGGTTCTGGTCACGCTGGAATCCCTGCTTGCAGATCTCGCACACGTATCGGTCCGATTCGAGAAGGGTTTTCGGCGACAGCGCCACCACTTCTGCATCTGGATCTACAATTCAAATAATCATATCATACATATATATTATATATATGTGTGTGCGTGTGTGTGTTACCACTTACCAGGAGTTCCGGCGGGTCGTCGTTTTCGTTTGGTGGTGGTGGTGGTGGTGGTGGCGCCGTTGTCGGAAGAAGGAGAAGGATGAATGCTGGTTAACATTGATGATGAAGATAAGGTGTTTGTGGAAATGATCCAATGAGCTGATATATAAGTTTTTGTGCTGCTTTTTTTGTAAGTGATGAGGTTGATGAGATTTTTTTGTATCTGATCAAAATTAATAGATCAGAAGAGCTTGTTTGTGGGACTAGAGAATATACAGCTATAAGCCTACAAAAGTATACATACACCAATGGATGGGGTGAGAGAAAAAATAAAAAAGATATTTAATTAATATAATTAATCAGCTTTTTCTTGGAGATTTTTTTAATGGCAAAAGAATAAATAATCGGATAAATTACGAAAAATCCCCTCCTGATTGGATAATTACAATCGCCCATCAACTATGAATCTTCTTACACGTCCATCCTTATAGTGTTAAATTCGACAGAATCTTCTAGAATATTCCGTGGAATGTTCTCTAGTTTAAACTAGTTTTGTGCAAAAATGCAGTTTATGATACACCACAACCTGATATTTACAAGCCAAGAGACAGATGTTATGATCATATTGTTTCAAAATGTGAAGCTCGAATGAGGTAAATTGAATACGAACTGGAGAATATTTCACGTTATCTAGAAGATTACGCTAAAACGGACAATGTAAGGGTGGGGGTATAAAATGATTCATGATTGAGGGGTGCACAGTAATTGTAATTACCTAAACACGAGAGATTTGTTTGGAATTTGACCATACCTCAAGGGTGAACGTAATTTACACGTAAATAATTCCACAACTTAATTCTCTCTCTCGGGCAGTTCTTTTGTAAAGTCACTCTTAGGTGATCGTGAGAGAATAAATTTTACAATAATCATCTATTTATGAAAGTTTTTACAAACTCCATAATAGAATTCTTGGAAATATGTTAACCATCTACTTTAATTTTGAGTTGATTAGTACTTATTACATGATTAGGCCAAGTGCATCGGTGGATGTCAATTTAACCCTCTTTAAAATTTGGCTCTTTTCGAACATCTTTTGAGATCCTTCATCGGAAAATCGCTCCGTTTATCTGAAATGCCGGGACTAGGGCCCCGATCGAGTGGAGTGGTTTATCTGGAATAAACAGTTCTATAGAGAGTAAAATAAAATTGAGAGAAGGATCGAATAGAGGAGACGACCCGATGTTGTGTGTTGAACGTGCGTAAAATTGTGTATTGTATATACTAAAACGTATCTCTTATGGTGTATTACATGATCCTATGTCATTGCACCAAATTATACATTCCAGGTTCGTATAGATAACCCCGCCAATGCAGTAAAATACGAGATGAATATCAATTTTTGAAACCGAAAACTAATTTGCAATCGACTTTCATGCCAAAAAAATGCTATACATGTACTTAAATACATTTTGTAAATCCAATACACATGTATGATAAATAATATGAAAGCAAACCCGAGGTACATTGTTCGATCGCTAGAATACGACGTCGTTTACTATGATACATCTATCAAATTCAAACATAATCAATTCTCATTACTAACTATATGACATAGTTGTATTTCAATTATTGTGCCAGAGTTATGAAGGCAAAAAAACGACGTCGTTTACTGGTCAAAGTGTTAGAAAATGAAAATAAATAAAGCATTGCCCTTCTTATATAAATGTAGTGTATTTATATTTTCATTAACAAAAGAAAATTAAAATCTACAATAAGACAGTGGGGTGGGGTAGGGAATGGGGTTGGTGCAATGATGATATATTGTTCCAAGTTGATTATGGTACGGACACGAATATGATGATATGGAGAAACGGGGAAACGGACACATGAAAACGGCAAATTTCAAAAATAAGGATACGGGAGTTTGGAGGAAATGTGTAAATATTAAAAATATAAGGATATATTTATAAATATGCTATATAAACATAGAGAAGTTTTTATAGATATATAAATTATTATTTATTTATTTATTTTTTTATTCAAATATATTCAAAATAAATTTTGCTATTAATTTGCTACTGGCCATTAAATTATATAAATAATTAGGGAATCAACAAAATTAAAATACTTGAAAATTTGTTATTTAACGTTTCTAATTTTTTTTAGAAATTACAAAATGACCCATAAAATGTCCGACAGGTGAGGAACAAAAAACATTAATTGTCATAATTATTAATTATATTTGAATATTCAAACTGGAAATAGCATGCATAAATAAGTTAAATACTAGATGCCAATTGCATATACGTACAACTGCAAGTTCTTTAGCTGCCTAGTTTTTTGTCTGTTTCTTGAACCTCCATTTCTGTGTCTAATCATCGTACTGTAGCCATTTTCCCTCCTTAATTCCAAGTTATCCACATATATTATTTTCTTAATTATTACTTTTATTTTATGTGTTGATTTAATTTTTTTTTTCTTTTACCTAGCTTCATAGGTAATGATTTTCAATTTTCAGCAAAATCGGGCGGTCAGGTCGGGTGGATAAATAGTCGATAATTGCCTGACCACTCGATTTTGCTGAAAATTGAAAACCATTATCGGCCCGACCACTATGGGTTGGGTAATGGTTGGCAGCCGACTTTGTTGGCTAAACAATGGGTGATTGGTTGGTATTATCGGCCATCTACTTATTTATTTATTTTTTTTACAATAAGAAGACGTTTTTTTAAGTTTTTTTCAAAAAGATATTCAAAATTTTGGAAAAACTTATGTCGTAAAAATCTTAACTTTAAAATTAAGTGTTTTTTATTTATTAAACTTCCAAAATATATAATGAAGAATATGAAATAGAAATTATAAAATATAAATAGTACGGAGAGGTTTATAAATTTGTGTTCTGAGTTTCTCAGTTTTTACTTCTTTTATATATTATTTTAACATTAAAGAAAAAAGAATTGCAATTAAATATTTATATTAAAAAAATCGGTTGGCCGATATTACCCGACCAACCGACTTTTAAGTAAACTGAAAACCACCGACATACCCATTTATATATGGGTTGATTAAACTACCGGTCCGACAACAAAATTATCGGCCGAAAAAATTATTATCGGCAGAAAGAAGAGGGTCGAAAGTGAGTCGGTTGGCCGATAAAACCAATCCATACCCAGTTCTACATGTATATATATATATATATTGAATAAAATTATCATATATTAAATATTTGTCTTGATTAAAATACTCTATAAATACATTCCCAATTTTGGAGAAACAATTAGTACATCAGTGCAATAGTTATAGGCAGCCAAAGCATTGTCTCATGCAAATGACGTTTGGTGATGGATTGTCCCAATTGGGCCCTATTTCCTTATTTCCAACTAATTTTATATTATTGGTTTTGTGGAATATTAGAAGTGTAAAATAAATGTATATATACTTTACACACATTTACACAAGTATATGTTAGTTTGTACATGCTACACTCGATGAAATATATCGGGTTCTGGTGATCCTACGTTATTGATCTGCACATAATAAATATATGCGTATGTGTGATTAGTGGATAGTTGTCTGTATAGATCTATGGTGTAAAATCACCCGATAGTTTTCACCAAATGTAGCATCTCATACACCTGCATGTGCATTATTATTAGTAAATCAACATAAAAAATATCCAATTCATTTCACCAGATGTAACATTTTTATGATCGGTTATATATCAAAAGTTGTGTTATCACTAGAAAAGTTGCAACTATATATTTCTTTATTTTTTTGATAAATAAGTCACAATTGTTATCAGAATCGGAATGGACATTCGGTTGAATACCCTATTGTTGTCCAATCCGGTTCAACATAAAAAAAAATAGGAATAAAAAACCCAGGTAATAGTTCATTCAATTGAATTATTATATAAAAAGAAAAAAAAACACCTTTATTTCATGTGCTTTGCTTTTAACAATAATTATCCCCATTTGTTGATCCTTTTGTTTGATTCTTAAATAACGAGGTGTTTCTTCTTACCATTATTAAATTATTAAATAAAATAATAATAATAATAATAATAATAACGGTAAATTACAATCACCTCCCTGAAGTATGGTCAAATTACGAACCCCTCATGTTTGGGTAATTATAACCACCACCATCAACTATAAATCTTCTTACATGTCCACTCTTGCAGTGTCAAATTTAGTGGAATCTTCTAGATTATATGAAATATTATCAATTATGTACCCGTTTTATTTCATTCGAGCTCAACATTCTGAAGCAAGATGATCATAAGATGTGATTTTTGACTTCTATATGTCAGATTGTGGTGCATCAGAAACTGAATTTTTGCATCAAAACGAGTATAAACTAGAGAACAGTCCACATAATCTAGAAGATTGTGTTGAATTTGACACCATAAGGATGAACGTGTAAGAAGATTCATAGTTGATGGATAGTTGTAATTATTCGAACATAAGGGGTTTTTTTCCATAAATTTACCATACCTCATGGGGGTTGGTTGTAATTTACCCTAATAATAATAGTAAGATTAGCAAATAAGAAAAGAAGGCCAAATTAAACTGAGGACCACAGACAAAACTGAGCCATCTTAAAATCCATAATTCATATCCATCATTGTCTGCAATTTATAACTTCACATGGACTTACATTTCAATTGGGCTTTGCATTAATTAAATCTGACCCCTCAAAAGTTTATTGTTAATGCTTTTAGAACCATTTTTCTTCCTTTTTTTTTTTTTTTTTTTTTTTTAACATAATCACTAAAAACCCTATATATATATATATATATATATATATATATATATATATATATATATATATATATATATATATATATATATATATATATATATATATATATATATATGAATGTGCATATTAAAAATAAGCGAAAAGCACAATATATGTAAATATTAGTGTCGAAATAAATTACATTTTTTTTTGCTTTGATCCGAAATCTTATCTTTTGATGAATATAGTCAGGGTCGTTAAATCATGAATAAAAAATGAAAGTTATTTTATCGTGAAACAATAAATCGTAACTCGTAACGAGTTGTAAATCGTCTGCATTTTTATTTTTCTACATTACGGGTATAAATAGTAATATATTAAACGACAATTTTTTTTTTGTTAAACATTACATTGTTTAAATTATAACAAAAACAATATAATATCATACATAAATTTCTACAGCGAAACTATAAATGTTGTATGATTACCATAATAATATTTTTAATTTAATAGTAAAGGGTCTAAATTTTTCAAAAATTCTGACACAATAAAGCAAAAAGATTAGTATTAAAAGCGTATTATTTATCATCATTTGTAATATTCTCTTCTTTAGGGAATCATTTATAATATTCATCAATGTTAATATTATTATTAGGTGAATCAATCTAAAAATAAAAATTCAAAATCCAGTTCAAACTTATCTATCGTGTATGTGACCAAATCGTATAATGGTCTAACCGAATCATAAATTGTGCACTCCTTTTAAATTAATGGTATATTAGATTTGAATCGAGAAGACACCGAGTCGTAAAATTGAATCATAAATCGTACAAATTTAACAATCATGAATACAATCTCTATAAATTCATACATTATCCACAACCACAAATGCAACTTCTAGCAAAAAAATAAAATAATGTAACATATTTGTACATATCAATTACAAAATTATCCTATTCATTATTTACCTAAATAGCCCACAAATAACGAAACTAAAATACACGTAGGCTAAAACGAACCATATCACAATTCATACAGGAAATTAGATGTTACACCTGGTTATATATTTACACTGGGTAGATTTGAATCGTAGATCTACACATAATCACACACACATGTGTATGTGTGCTTATTGGATAGATATTTAATCAAATCTACTGTTCAAATTCAGCCGATGTAAATAACCAGATGTAACATCAAACTCGTCCAATTTATACATATTCCTAGCTCATCCAAAAAATTAGGGTTGGCAAAAGAAGATCCAAAAAGGTGATATAAAGAGTTGAAATATCAAATATCCGTAATCAAAACTTCCAAACATCATAATATAATATATTGTATTATATTATATTATAAACTCACCCCCCCTAGTTAAATACCATTCCTAATCCTACAAAAAACCCGATAAATGATCCCGAAAAGGGGCCGACAAAGATCGTGCAACGGGTTCCCAACATGGAACTGCAAACACGAACAAAATCCAGCGCAACTCGTCATCAATCCATCCCAAATACCGGGGATTATCCAATCTTGATAGTAATCATCCCTACTCGGTGGATTGATAACGGTGGCCGAAAGCACGTACGCCGACGCGGCATGCTTAACGAGCTCGTTCCGGATGGAGATACTATTGGGGTCGTTTTGGTCCGCATGCTTAGGCGAAGACGAGTTGAACGACGATATTATGTCCTTGAGGCTCGTGTACCTAGGGAGCTCCTCGTCCAATTCTCCACCCCCGCCGAGTAGTGATGATGTGGCGGCCGGGTCGAATCTTCGCTTGAACGAAGGGGCGGACTTCAGTTTTCGAAATTCTGCCTCCATTGTGTGTGTGTGTGAATGTGGAATTTTTTGTTTAAAATTATGTCATGTGTTAATTGAGGGTTTTTTCTTTTTTTGTATTTTTTGGTTTGTTTTTTTGTTTTTGGTTTTTTTTTGGGGGGAATTTCCTGAAAATAAGTGATGGTGAGGAATATAAGTGAGAGTTGTTATATTGGGACACGTGGCGGTCAAACCTTGAAAAAATGTGAGAGTGAATGAGAGAATTGTAGGGGGTCTGTTTGGATCTCCTGTGATCAAGGACATTGAAACGGACAATCGTTGGATATTGCTTTAATTTTTTTAGTATAATATATTTAGGAAAAAATTAAATATTTTATGATTAATTATTATTTTACTGCAAAGCCTATTATATATTCTGCAATAACCTAAATGATTACTTTTTGTAGTATTAGAATATTACAAATTTGATTTTTTATTTTCTAAGTAATTAAGTTAGTTTAAGATTATATCCAAAAAACAACGAGAACAGATCAAAATTGAGTTTTTTTAAGGATATTTGCAAACACGATAACTAGGTGTTACATTTTTAGTCGGTGACATTGGCTATGACTCGAGTGTGGTTAAGTCATAGCCGAGAAATGGTGCCAAGCGAGGATTGGCACAAGACATCCACACAATCGGCTAATGAGTGGTTGAGTATTGGGCAAACATTTGGGGTGTTTATTCGAGAAAGTAAGGAATGACTTGATTCAAGTGGCCGGGAACGGCGATTAAAAGTACTTGTGGCTGGCACGGGCGTTGCTCGGCACCTAATGTGGACAAACGTGGGGAATAATCGGCATGTGGCCAAGAACATAGGCAAACGAGCGTTCGAAGGAAATCGACCACGACTTGACAAGCGTGGGCAAGTTGGTACGACTGGTTGACAAGTCAAGGAAAGCAGCCCGATGAGCGGGTATGCTAATGATCGTGTGGACAAAAAACTAACAAGTGATTTCCAAGGCAAGGCAGATGGGCTGCCTAGCAACCGGCCGGGCTGTTTTGGCCGTTTGGTGCGCGCGCTCCCGAGTAAGGCAGACCTTCGACAACCGACTATGAGGACGGTTTTGAGGGAAGTTGTGGAGCGGTTGAAGCTTGGAAAGCATACGAAACTGCCCCTTATAACTTGTAATAGTTAGCCAAATTTTAGACTAGTGTGCTGCCAAGTGTCCCTAGGTAGTTTAATGTGTAAACTACCTTCTTCCTTGTATTTATATGGCTTTGAGTGCACAAATCCGCTCCATCTAGTATTAGAGAGTTCAAATTGCAATTGTGGGCATTCTGATTGAGGATTTTGTGTGTTCACCTTAGTCTTCTTTGTATTATTTGTGGGAAATTAATATAAAAATTGGGCATTGCCCGTAAACGTGCTTGTGTGTGGTTTTCTGCTCCACACTTTTGTTCTTGTTTACGCTGGCTTAAAAGACTTTGTATTTGTGCCTTCATGCAAAGTGAATCGAGAGAAACGCTGACTGATTTGGTGGGCAAATCAGGACGCACTGGCGAAAATTTATTGAGAAAGAAACTCCGGTGACACTAGGGGTGGTTAGAAGGAGTCGAGCCGACTCGTAAGCTCGATGAGCCAGCTCGAAAAAAGCTCGAACCCGTACTTGAGTTTTTCGAGCTCGAACCGGTTTTTAGTTGTTCGTGAGCTCATGAGCCGGCTCGCGAGCCTTATTTATTAATTTATTTTATATATTATTTTTTATTTAAATAATGTATAATAATATAAATTATTAAAAAATAAATAAATATAAAATATAATATTAAAAAATATATAATTACAATTTATCGTTTATTTTGTAATTTTTTTAAAATTATTTTTAATATAATAAAATAATAATTATAAAAATATTTAAAAAAAATGAGTTTGGGCTCGAGCTCAAGCCGAAATAGAAGGAACTCGAGCCAAAATAGAAGGAGCTCGAGCCTGCCAAAAGACGCTCGTTCACACCCCTACCGATAAACAATTATTCAAAAATTTACTTATATTCGCCAACTTCTGCAATTTGCTTAATGTAAAATTATTTAAATTATAATGGCTAATCTTACTAACAAAGCGAGGGGACATATTGTACGTATCATTAATCGTATTGTATTGTAAGATATTCGACAAACTATTAAAAATAGTACAAAATATATATTATATAATAAAAATACAATAAACATGTAAAACTTAATATTTTAAAGTTAAACCATTCATTCAAAATAGGTCTAAATTAAAGTAACAACATTAAATTATTAATTAGGAGAAAAATAATAGTTTTAGAAATACGATTGTAATTTGTAGGTTTTATTACCTTTGCATTGCTAATATAAATTGCTTTCGTTTAATATGACGTTGAACCATGGTTATCGGATCGTAAAAATATCTCGTATCGTTTTTCTCCATGTCTCGTATCGTATTGTTATCGTACCGTATCGTAAGATATTTAACCAACTATTAAAATAGTAAAAAATATATATATTTACACTACAAAAATATTATAAATATGTAAAATTTAATATAACTACTTATTTAAAAATAGGTAAAAATTCAAGTTTCAACATCATATTATAAAATATGACAAAAATCATATATGTTCATCAAATAACATCATCTAAGAGGGTGTTTGGCTAGACTTATAAGATGTTAAAACGAGCTTATAAGATGTTTAAGAGCAATTCTAGTGTGTTAATTAAGTAATTTTTGTAAAAGATCTTAAAAAGTCAAAATATTATAGGCTACTGGAGAGCAAATAGGATTTTTTTTAAAAGTACGTTTACCCCACCTATTTATTTAAGATCTTATAATGAGTAAAATAGCTTGTAAGATCACTATCCAAACACTTGAAAAAAATAATTTTAAAAGTAAGACGTAACAACTTATCAGCTCTTAAAACAACTTATCAGAAGTAAGAGTTTATCAACTGTGTAAATAAGCTTAGCCAAATTGCCCCTACGTTCAAATCCGAATACCTAATTTCTAAAATATTCGATATCTCATAATTTTGAAGATCAATGTAACTTAAATCGTCATCATCTACCAATTTTAAACGATTGCATTCATCATCATCAATCGCAAAATTAGCAGAAAAAACGCATCGGATTGGTCTTGAATCGCAAGAATCTATAGAAATTGAAATAGTGTTGTAATATTGTGAGGGTTTGCTGAAGAAATTGAAGAGAAAAATGTGAATTAGGGTTCGAATATTGAAGAAATCTGTTCTAAACCGTTTTTCAGAGTAGTTGACTGCATTTCTTCTTTTTTTCTTCGTTTTTTTCATTTTTTTAATTATTGACTAATATCGTCAATATCGTATCGTGATACAACGATAACATACGATATCTCGCGATATTTAACGGTATTTATCAATCGGCGATACATAACCCGAGTTGTATCGTTTTGCAGTATATCGTGAGATTAACTACTATGCGTTGAACAAATTTGTTTGTTTTGATTGAGAGAACAATAAAATTTATCTGAAGCATTTTATTTTGGCTTTTACTTAATTGAAAAAAAAACTCTATTATAATTGAAAAAAATGTGCTGAAAATCGCACAAAACGCCCCCAATGTGCTGAAAATCGCACAAATCACCCAAAATTGTGATGAAAATTGCACAAATCACCGGTAAATGTGCCAAAAATTGACAAATCACCCCAAAAACAAATGTCGTAAATATCGTATCGTATCAGATTATATCATATCGCGATATCGAGCAATGTTAATCAGCATTTGATTACAATCGATACATATGCGGAGTTGTATCCCTTCTATAGAAATCGTATCGTATCGTGATACATATCACGGTATATGGCGATATTGACTACACTAATACTGTATAGAACAATCAGCCTGGGTAACCTTGTCCTCTGTTACATAACCTTCACACAGTTACATATACGAATAGTTCAATAAATTTTGTGATTTCGTATAATCTCAATTCGGTGAATCCATAACAACTTTGCGTATCATAACAATCCTTACAAAAGACAGGCACAAAATAATTTACGAGACGAAGTCTCGGCAAGTATAAATAACGACCTGAAAATACTACATGTATGCTTAGAGATCAAAAGAAATAAAATCAAGAAACCTAAAAAGCAAAATAAATACGGGTTACCTAAGACTTTCTAAAAACACAAGGACTAATTAATAAATTAACGTTGGCACAAACTATTCTTGAAACATATGTTTCCTTTAGTACGTAATCTCATAAAGTAAATAAATTAATTAGGCATCGAAAGAGGCATAATCCTTTTAACCTTGATACGATGCGCATTTATGAGAAGAAAAAAAAACAATCGATTACTTTGTCACGTTGTTGCTATTTTAAGAAACCGGATTACGAAGCAAGATCGAGTTAATATCTTAAAACAAAGACCACTATCGAAAAAACCAAATATGGAACTACAATGAATATAATAAAAACTCGACAAAACATTCTACTATTTTCCTCCCAAGTACAAAAATGTAAAATAAGTTCAACAAATCGTATCCAATGTGCTCGGGAAAAAAAATTAAATAAGGCGAAACTAATGAAACAAAGAAACTCACTTCTTGAAGCTTCCTTCAGCATTTCTAACCAGGCCCGTCTCGGATAGTGACAAACTTATTCGTACCATGTTTGGCCCAATAACTCCTAAGGTCGATCGGGTTGGAAAAATCATAACCCTCGGAAGAGAGTTTCTCTAGAACCTTCTTGAAAGCTCCGACACTCATCTTCCGCCCAGCTATACGGGCCCCACGCCTCTTTGTGCTCACGGGCAAGGGGTGCACGGACAGCCCCGTGGTACAGCACGCGGACTGCCAACCACCGGATCCCCACCTATAGCATTGATGAGCTGTCCCCGTGCATGAGCAAATCGGTATAGGGATTTTCGAAATATCCATATTTTGTCCGTTAATTACAACTTCCGCCATTTTCTTGGGGGCCTTTGCACGGTCTTCGTTTGGGGCCCCCCTCGGAGTTTTATTAGTCCTCGGTTTCTTCTCTTTCGGTGCTTTTCCACCACCGCCACCACCTCTCTTCTTTACCGCCACCCCACCTCCACTACCACCACCACCACTATTATCTCTTTCCTCGCACGATTCTTCCACTTTATTAATCATCAACGAGGTGTCGTTTTTGGGTAAAGTTATCTGAGGGGACGAAGCCTCGGATGAAACATCGACGTAGCTCTGTAGATAATAAGGACGATTGGGATTAACGGACAACGGATTGTTGAGGTACTTGCTACTGTTTGGACCCATCCAACAACTTAACGGGTTGAGGGGCCCACCGGATATTCCAGTGATGTGGTGGTGGTGGTGGTGGTTAGTGGAGGCTGTTACGGGCAGTTCACGAACACCACCGCCGCCGCCGCCGCCACCACCACCGGAAAGGGACGTTTCGATCATGGAAGGCATTAGATTAAGGGGCATATGATTATGATGATGGTGAGGCTCTTCATATGGAGTTCTTGAGTACTGATGAAATGTCCAATTCCTCGAATTCACATTCCCATTTTCATTATCGTCCATCTTATTTTCGACGAAATTGCCCGACTGAAATTTCAATTAAACTAAATCAAACTGTGATTATACTCTTCAACTCTATCATTATTTCCCTGCAATTGAAATCAAAATTAAATAAAAAAAATCACACAAGAGATATCATAGAATCGTACACAGTAATACAAATAGAAAAACAAAAAATTGAGAAATTTAAGAACGCAGGCAATGCAGGGAATTTAGGGCTTTTGAATTCAGATCCCAGCGAAAAATTGACGCGAAAAATTTTGGGAAAAAATAAATAAAAATTCATGCTTTATCTAAACGAAGAAAATGGGAAACAATTCAGTTGAAGAAACAGGATGAAGTTGAAACAGATGAAGAGAGCTTACTGCGAGAAAGACGAGTCGGCTGCTTTAGGGTTTTTTCTTTTCTAATTCCTTTTTTTCCCCAAGATTTTTAAGCCGTTCTTGGGAAGGGAAGAAGAGTTGGGAAAAATTGGCACAAAATTAATGAATTTTGTTAAATTATTTAATTTAAATTTTAAAAATAATAATTTTTTTTATTTTTTAGAAAAAAAAAATAAAAATTGAAAAACATGAATTGGTTTGGGGGGGGGGGCGAGAAGGGGGGGAAGCCGGTAAAGGGGGTGCAACTTCCTACATGAGCCATGAGTACCACATGCCACTCTCTTCAATGGCAAGTTTTCAATTTGTTCACTTAACTAGGGGAGTTAGATGTTACGTCCGATTATTTATATCGAGTGGATTTGTTCTGTTGGTTTGATAAATAACTATTCACTAACAAAACATACATAGGGGGTATGTATGATTATCTGTAGATCTATCGTCTACGATTGAAATTCACGTGTAAATTACCAGGTGGAGTATCTAATTTACCCTTAAATAGATGTAATTTCAATAAAAACATATTCATTTAAACTTAAATTCTCAAAAAAAAATTACCTTTTTGACATTTGTTTTTTGCTCAAAATCATATTTAGTGTTCATATAGATTGTATCATCAAGTAATATTATATAGGGTTATTAAGAAAGGAAAAAAAAACATGTTTTAAATGGTCTATAATATCTAAATGCAAAGAGAATTGAACCATTAGTCTAATATTTACCCTTTTTACCCCAATTTCACTTATGTAAAAGATTCCTAGTAGAAAGCTTGCCATTTCATAAAGAATCTATAAGACTATAACAAATGTAGCTATGTTTGTAAAAAAGAAATTCTAGAATACATATTCTTGAAACTCTTAAAGATTCAATTCAAAGTTTTAACATCTTAAGATTCGACTTTGACCCATCGAATCTCATTCTTTACAGCGAAACATATGAGTCGATAGCTTGAGCATCAATCCACCTCCCATTCTATTACGTTATGTATCTCCTCTAGCTCAAGGCACTCGTCACCTGAATGAAGATACACTGTCTGTCTCAAGTAAGTGATATCACAACCTGCCACAAATTTGTTCTAAATGATACTCACTGAATCAGACATGTGAATATATTCAAATTTACACACTATATATCTCTGTGTCTGTGTGTGTGTGTGTGTTGTGAATGTTTACAAGAGTACAATGTCACTTGACCTGAGTTCGAACTCAATTACGAATACTTTCTAAGTCGAGCTCGTCACACATAATTAGCATAGTGTGATTTACATATTTCATGTAGTTTGTGAGTTGTTGGACGAGAATGAAATTTACATTGTACTGCACTTGAAGCGATTGCAGATTCTCTTGGCAAAGAAAAAGAAAAAAAGCCATCAATATTCTAAAATCGAACATGACATAGAATCGGACAATCAATTGAATCTCAATTGGATTGAATTGATACTTTAATAATATATATATTTCATATTGAACAATATGGAAAAGTTGGCTCGGCAGGTGCAACGCATGTGCAACGCGCGTGCCTTTTCTATATATTTTAATATTAACTAAGATTCTATTATATTGATAAAAAAAAAATCATCAATATTTCAATAATGCAACAAGCACAATACTAAAATATAAAATATATTGAAAATAGCTAAATCGGCACGAGCAGTGTGCATGCAATTTTCTAGTCATCAAAAAGATGTAGTGTCAATGTGTACCGGGTAGCCACTTATACAACTACGTATTGTAAAAGTGGGATTTCCTTGGTCTCGACTATCTCCCCCGTTTATAATACTTTAAATGACGTGTTTCATACATGTAGGGAAGAAAACATGAAGTGATAGATTGTGGGGGGCATCGGCCGCAAGGTACGTACAATAACACCTCATATTACTAATGGATTAACTGACGGGGAGTGGGAACTAGGTACACGATGTTTAAAGAATGCAAGACGACATATTAGATCGAATAAATCTAAGTGACAGGAGATCTAGAACTAGAAGTCAAAAGACGATTGTCATATCGACTTATCTGTCTGCGAAGAATTACATCGTGAAAGTACGTAATGGAACAGTTGTCATTTCAACTAAGGAGTAAATGAATATAAATGTGACCGGGGATTCAACACCAAATGTTCTAGTATCCAACAAATCTGCATTCATTGAAATATAGTGTGCATATGAGGATTTGCACGAGTATATGAAAAAGAGTTAATATTCAAAACGGACTCTCCGTTGTTCTAAAAAATATCAGATCCTACTAAATTCGTGACAAGTGTCCAAATTTGACATTTATCATTTTAGGTTATTATTAGTGTAAATAGCACACAACCTCCTTAGTTTGCATATTTTACAGATAACCCCTTATTTTTCTATTTAAGCACATAATCTTATATATAAAAGAAAAAAACGTTGGACAACCCTAAAAAATCCTAATGGTATTTCTTTAATTATTCATTTTTAATATTTTTTCTCTACTAATTTTGAATAATTATCAATCTCCTATTTTTCATCAATATATCTCAAATCTTAAGAGATAAAGATAGAAATTCGATTTGTTAAATCTAAATCTATATATTTGGATTATAAATCTTAATATGTAAAATTTAAACAAACTAATGTTATATAAAATATGAATAATACTACAATATTATTAAATTTTACTATGTGCGTGTACTATATTTTCTTATTATGTATTAAATTGGTTTTTTTTTAACTCTTGAAATAATATCTCGTGCATCGCGCGGGGAAAAAATGCTAGTTACTATTAAAAATAAACTACTAAGCAAAACCGAGTTACAAAAAATCTAAAATTATTTCCAAACTCAGACGGTAAATATTATTTGACAAAATAGAAGGGAGGTTACAGTTGCACAAAACTTTAAATTTTTATTTACTTTTTCAAACCTATAATAAATTTATTAAAATTTCTTTTGATTTTAAAATTCAAATTTGATATTAAATAATATATTTGTGTAAAATTAAAGAATATGCCAAGTTAGATATTTACATTTAACTTTTATCTTTAGTTTAATATTTTATATCATAATTGAGAATAAATTATAATTATAATTAATAACCAAAATACATAATTATGAAATAAAAATAATTATTTTTTGTTTAAAAACAAATAAACTAGAAGGGCTTAAGTGATAATTACCTCTATTGGTATCAAAGACGTGGTGATTGGAGTCCGATTATATTGAATTAATGGGTAATCTATTCATAAGTAACACCCAATGAAAAAATGTGTCATATATTGTGCGTAATTTCTAGTTATATTTATATCATAAAAAAATACATGTTTCTTTAAATGAAGAAAAATATATACAGAATTGCAACTGTCGGGAGTCTTTTATTTTTATAGTTGAATAAGGGTAATTAAATATACAAAATTTCATAATCTTCTTAAATTATTCAGCCATTTTAATCGTATTAGTTAAAATATACCCAAGTTGTTTATTAAAAATTATTATGGAAAAATGACACTGCAATGCACGTGCATTTTCTTATGTATTTTAATATTAATTAAGACTCTATTATATTGAATTCTTCTTTTATCATTTTCCAATTACGTAACAAGCACAGTATTAAAAATAACTAACTCGACACGTTCAATGCACGTGTACGAATATATAAAATATATTAAAAATAACTAACTCGACGCGTGCAGTGCACGTACACCTTTTTAGTAATAGAACAACCAAAATTATCTACACTTGGTAAAGATAGCTGGGAGGGAGTAGTTTCAGATTCAATGAAAATTAGATCTGTAATTCTGCTGCAAGATCAATACATAGTCTGATACTAAAATAATAGCAGTAAAATATTCACGAAATATAAGCACTAAAAGAAACTCTGATCTTACTGAAACATAAGCTCCTGAAGGTTTCTATACATGAAAATGCAAATTGATCAACCAGAGAGGTTATCAATATCAACAAGCACAATCATTGTCAAGTATCCACGGAAAACGAGATTAGAAAGAGTCGGAGTTCATTCAGCCGGCGATAACAGAACCATACAACAAATCCCTAAACGAAGCTGCAGAACTATGATTTTAAACTGGATAATATCGAAATCTCATATAGGTTGATTGTACTGTTACCAAATAAAGTTTGAGATAGAAGCAAAGTATATAACTATTTATTTAGCAAGCATCATTCTGACAAACTCCTCGTAGTTGACTTGGCCATCACCATCCACATCAGCCTCTCGTATCATCTCATCCACCTCCTCGTCTGTCAGCTTCTCACCAAGATTAGCCATCACATGACGAAGCTGCATTATATGTATATATACAACACATGTTTTAAGTTAAAAAAACGATACAGAAAAAATTACTCGTGAAATGCTGTTTTCCAATGTCTTATTTATTGAAGGTGTGAAAAGGAAGTAAGGAGTACCTCAGCAGCAGAAATGAAGCCATTTTGATCTTTATCAAACACCTTGAAAGCTTCTTTAAGTTCCTCCTCGGAGTCAGTGTCCTTTACAACACATAGGATAATGTTAGCTATACTTCTTATGCTTGCAAAACCGATATACGACAGAGAATAATAGCATGCTTATCGAGTTTTCATATGGGGACATTTCTATTAATGGCATGCCTGAAATTCTAATATTGGAAAAAAGGGCAAGGCAGTGAATCAAGGTAGTAAGTAGGGTTACTATCAGTGGTGATCAGATCAGGCCGAGGTAAGGTAAGGACTTATAGTAATTAATATTTGAAATTAAATATTGCAAAACTAGACGTGAACGTTTGTAAGAACCATTTGAATTCAATTATTTGATTTAGCTAATTGGGCGATTCGTTTACGACCACTAAATTAATGAATATAACTGAAATCCAGCTAAAGATAGGTTTGTCAATGGGATTTCCTAAACTTGAGTAACTTAGCACTATTGGTATCAGGGTGTGGAAACTCGATCTACATAGGTATGCAGCCACAAAATCAGCCTAATAGCTAGGTGTAAATACAGTGGTTTCTACTTCGCTCGTAACAATACAGATGAGATAATATTTCACCCATTTTGCCACTGGTGACTAAACTCGTTCTAATAACCATCGTTAGTCCTAATATCCATTATCATTTGTTAAAGCAAAAAGTCTTCACTAAAATCAAATTTGATCGAATTCTCCTACATTATCATAATTTCTACCAAACTTCTTGATAGCTACTGTTTTAGCAGACAACATTGGAGTCATCAAGTAGAATTTCAGTTGCATTTAGGTGGAATATAAAACATACAGAATGATAATTTAAAAGAAGGTGTCAAAGTGGGAACAAAGTATTTGAAATCCATTGTGACTGAAAATAATCCAATACAAGTACAATAAACTTGTATTCGTGGATCTGACACCCTAATAAAATCAGCAAAAATTTACTTGCAGATCAAAAACTTCTCGAAGCACCGATGAGTATTAAACAATGTAAAACACATAAACTTTTAAGCATCTTACAGCACCAGAACAACGTTAACGCACCCCGACTAAATACATACTAATACAAAGCATATTTGCGATTCTTTAGAAGCATTGAGATGCCAAGAACTACTAAGATAAGAAGAGAAATCAGGTTAAGTCATAAGTTGAAAAGTGGTTGTACTTAGCAACGCAACAGTAGTCCAGACTAGTAAGTGATTCGGATCTATATAACATTGGAAAAGCAACTTTCAAAATCTTTTACAGCTAATGCATACTTAAATGCACATACCCTAAACACTAACCTGCCTCGAAAACACAGCAATGACATTACTCATAAATCCAAAAAATTCAGTTAACAGTAGAGCGAAACTAACCTTCATCTTACGAGCCATCAAATTCAAGAATTCAGGAAAGTCAATGGTACCATTTTGATCAGCATCAACTTCATTTATCATGTCCTGCAGTTCAGCTTCGGTGGGATTCTGTCCAAGTGACCTCATCACTGTTCCCAACTCCTTCGATGTGATACAACCTATAAAACGATCATTCAACAGTAAAATAACCGTATATGTTTTCACAATATTAGAGGCATATACAAGCTTATTCCCATCACATTGAATTAAATGGCTGCTCCTATTATATGCTTAAAAATCTTATCAGCCAACAACAAAGAGATGGCGATTTTCATAGTAAAATGAATAAAAATTAATCTCGATTAAGAGGACGATCGGATACACAAGTGGCTATAAATTTCAATTCCAATCGACTCACTAACAGTCCTAATCAGTTCTCGCAGAAATGTGAAGACAGAAACTAATCCGAAGAAATAAATTAATTCAAGAGGAAATTCATTTTATCCTCATTTCACTTCCGATTTTTTTTCTCGCTTCACCAAATATATGAACCATAAGTCTCACCTAAATCCTAGATGCAAAAACACAGAAAAACAAAATTAAAATAAAATAAACAAATCGAGAAGCGTTGAACGTACTCTCACTTCGCCACAATTAATTTATTCACATCAAAATGTTTAAAAAAACACGAGTCGCTTCATCATCAACAAAATTACAGAGACAAGAAAACAATCGCGAACTTCATTAAACAGGTAGATCTATTTCAAAGAAACCACGGCTTAAAAAGAAAAAGCAAAATGATGAACAGAAAAACAGGCAAACGGAGGAAAACACAAAGAAGAAACGTATACCATCTCCATCCTTGTCGAAGAGACTGAATGCTTCCTTGAACTCAGCGATCTGCTCCTCTGTCAACTGCTCCGCCATTTTCACTTTCTCTCTCTTGTTTCTCTCACCTCTAAAAGACGCAGAATGAATCAGCTGGAAGAAAACCCTTTCTCTAGCTAGCCAAGGGTTTGAATTGAATCGCTCTAGTTTCTATTTCTGAAGGACCCTTTATATACTGACGCTTGCATGTGAGTGAAGGTCTGTGTACAGTTAGGCACCTTTGCTAGCGACTTTGACTGATCTGCTTTGACTTTTCTTTAGTCTTTGATTTCGGTTTAAACTGACAAAACCGGAGGAAAAGAGACCGGAGAGGAGAGTGGGAATATATTTTCGTTTTCAAGTCAAGTGGGCCCACGAGTATTTTCTTTATCATTTAACCGTATTTATAGACCCCGCGTGACTCGGCGAATTTGATTCTTCTTGGTAATTAAGTGGACCCCGAAGATATAGGTTGTTATTAATAAAAGATATTTTCAATTTTATATTTTTATTCATGGAATATTCACTTCGTGTATTGAAAATCTAGGTGTGAAATTGATAATTATGTCACACTTACAAATAAAATAGAATTTATTTTTTTTTTTTAAAAGAGGGTTTGAATTTTCGTTTTTGTATAAAAAAATTTAAAAAAATTATTATATAAAATTTGATATACGATCTTCAATTTTCTTTTCTTGTTCAACTAAGCCTTTAAAGCCTATGGCAGAGCCTTGCCAAACAAAGTAAATGCTTTGGGAAAAAAATTACACAATTTTTCTTTTAATATTTCATAACTAACACAATTTAAACGGAAATTCGTCGACACGAAAACTGGGCACCAATTTGTGTCCCGAATGAAATGTCACAATTCCCGCAATTATTATCAAAAAATAATAAATACGTACGAACTGGCTCCAAGTCTCGTATTTCATCTCAAGATTATATAAAAGATCCCGAATTCAAAAACAATAATCCATTTTTCATTTCGAGATCATCGATACACACGATACACATTAATCAGCAGAATAAGTGTTTCATCAAAGAAAATCATACACAATGTAAACTCGTACAGTTCTCTGCTATCTATCTATTAGATTTCGGTATTGGGGGTGAATTTTTACGCTCTCTCGGCTCAATGCATTTATCAACTGCATATGCGGAAAGCTTCTTCATTACGGAAAATTCGAGTAACAAAAATTCGCTCGTAAAATTCCCTCCTCGATAACAAAAAAAAAAGGTTGCCGAAATATATAATGTTTAAAATCATGAAGCCTTGTTGTAATTGTTCTTTACAGCCAATGCCGCTGCTCTGTACCAAGAAGCTGCAGCCATGGCCCCTGGATCGGGAACTGATGCTAAAATCTCTGCAGACACATATGATGACCGTCCCGCCTGCAGAATCTCACTTGTTAGTAAATTTGTGTAGTACAAAATACTTATTAATGTTGATCTTATAAGGGTCATTTTAAGAAAACAAGTAAAATCAAATCAAAAATTGGAATCTAATATGTATCCCAATTTCATTCGAAAAAAATTGGAACTTTCGAAATTCGGAATGAAAAATATTGTTCTAAAATCGGAAATTTTAGAATTGATATTGGAGGAATTCGGAAATTCCATTCCAATTTCCATCCCTAGTCACGTCTGAACATTAGCGGTCAATATTGAAAATGAAAAACGAAACGTAACCATAAGAATAGATATAAATCCTTTTTTAATTATAAAGTTATCACAACATTATACAGAAGAAAAAAGACTAGCTGAGGCTCAAGAGTTTCACCTGAGCTCGCATGTTTTTAGTTGACTCAGCACCAACGACGGCTGCTTCGGCTGATAAAACAAAGGCCTCAACAGAATCTTCACCAGCCACTAATTTCTGTTACACTCTCAATATAAATAAAAATATATTGGCTCCAAAAAAATAACACTCGAAGAAGAAATATTATAGTAATTATTTCCTCTAACCTCTTTAAGGACAGAAAATGCTGGAATAAGAGCATCCAATAATGTTCGATAACCCGCTTTCGCACCTCCGTATTTACTCACTGCAGCAATAGCAGCTTCAAAAGCAGCAGCCCCTAAATCACGAAACATTGGATTATAATAACTTCATAATATGTCAAATAAATAAAAAATCATATACTCCATGAAGTCGTCTCACATTGGGGCCCGGTAATGTTCGAAGGGCTATCTGTCTTAAGCTGTGTGTATGCTGCCTTAAAGAATATGTCGTATCTGTCATTACAGAAGGAAACATTTTTCGCCAATTTTAAATACAATGTCGTCCTCGATAGTAATAATGAGAAAAACATTACCACAACAAATTATATGGTTGAAGTAGATAGAAAGAAAGGAAGGAATATACTGTACATGATTCCACTTGTTCCTCCCATAACCTTGCTTATCGAAGATCCGATTTCACTGACAGTCTCGGCAGGATCATTCAGTGGATAACTGGATGCGTAGAATCAGAGACGGAAGTAAGAAAATGGAGGGAGGTTGTGTGATTGAGTAAGAGCAAAAATCAGAAAGTGAAACCAAAAAAAGCACGAGTCTATTTTACAATTGGATTTTCATATTTATCTTGGTTAATCTTATCTTAGGAACCAAACGAGGCCTACAAGGATTAAATAATTTACAAGTAAGAAAAAGAGCTCACCACTTTTTCATGTCTTCAAGAATGGCTGATGCACCTCTGAACATCTGTAGTATCACAAGAAATCCATGTAATTAAATTCACATCCTTAAGAAGCTCTAGGGACAAATGTAATTAACCCGAACACTTACGGTTGATCCACAGTCACCATCACCAACTTTGCTGTCCCATTCATTTAAACTGTCCTTAAGATCGATAACTGCAGTTGCTGCTGCTTCAATAGCAACTTCAAGAATATGCCCCTGACAACTCAGCTGCTCGGGTCGACTCAATGTCTAACAAAACAGTGAAACCAACAAGTGGCGAAGTTACAACAGACGTGTTTCGGAAACTGAACAATGTCGAGAATATAATCAAAATACTAAAGCAACTTATGTTTCATCAGTAGAAAAATCTCTTTTAGAGGTCAACAAATAAAAAAAAATTCCTGTTATTATAGGATATGGATGTTAACCTGGGATATGAATGCAGGTTCACACAATAATGTTAAAAAAAACGTTAACATGTAAGCTGCGCGATACTGCATGTAAAAGGTTCATTTGAATTTTGTTCACAAAAATGGGGAAGAAAGGATAATAATTATAACAAAGTTCGGTTTTGAAAGAAGGGTATCGTTACTTCTATCAAAGAAAAGCAAAATAGGCTCAACAAACCTCTTTATTCTTTTTTGACCGAGATGGCGGAATAGGAACAGGAATCTTGGCAGGTGGGTGGTTACCTGCGAGCATATTACGGGTTAAAAAAAACAATATTTTAACTAATTCTTGAAAGATTTTAGATTGAGTGGATGTATGCATTGAAATGATACTAACCATCAGCTGCAACAGGCCAATTTGGAGCCTTAGTTGGGGCATCCAAACGGCTTAAAATTGTCTGATCTGCCTTCATTACGGTGATCGAGATCCTGCAGAGGCACAAATTAATATATATATATATATATATATATATATATATATATAGTAAATAAAAATATATTATTGCGTGCATAATATACCTGCCATGTCTAGGGAGGTCATAAATGAACCAGTATACACCCTCTCGACCGCCAATCCATGTTCCAGTTGTAGTCTGGGAACAGCCTTTCCGGCTGCAATCATCAATTCCATAAGGGGGGTAGCCCCTAATCTGTACGCCAGAGAAGTGAAAATAATTATAAAAAAGAATAATAAAATACTTGAAAATTGAGGAAGAAGATAAATGCTTAGCTACAAACATACCCATTAATCATGAGTACAACTCTACTGCCACGTGTTATGGGAACATAATTTGTTTCCTACATATGGATCACAAGTGACGAATCTTGTAAGATAATGACAAGACAAATGAATGTTTGCAAGCCCAATTAAGAGAGAGAAAAGAGAAACACGTGCAAAAGTAAGCATTCAAAAAACTAAAATACACATATTCTCGTAAACTTCTTGTATTAAGAATCTCCGCAGTTAACTTTATAGAACATATCAGATATATCTCCATAATTCATGTCTGGAAAGTGGAAACTCTCTAAATATAGACGAGTCTTGGAGAGAAAAGGTTTCTGAAAATAACCTCTGGATGTTTTCATCACAGAATCCTTTTCTATAGTAAATGTTTCTCTAACAGCTACATTTAATTAAAGAAACATACAGATCTAATAAGTAGCATACCGTTGACAATATTTGATTCAGAACATGAGAAACCACAATGTCAACGGGTTGGAGGTCAGCCACAGCAGCACCTGGTTCTCCATGCTGAAAGACATACAAGTGGCATAGATCACTTACATGTTAGGTGACATACTGACATTCAATATACAGTTACGAGTATTGAAACCGTTTAACTGCCAACATATAGAATTAGTTATACGAAACTCAATGAAACAAAAACATTGTCGACAAGTAATGTCCTACAAAGAAGCAAGAAAAAAAACTGTTGAAAAACACCAACGTGTCACTGCATTCAAATTCTCATGATTAAAAATGTATCATGATTACAGTATTGCAAGCACCACCAATGTGTCACTGCATTCAAATTCGAAAGCAAAAAATAACTACTTACAATTCCAAGACCAAGCTCCATCTTGCCAGGGCCTAAACGATCTGGGGTCACCTGACCAGGCAATGTGCAAACTGATAACGCGACACCCATTGTTCCAACCATTTCTGATGCTCGTTTAGCTTCAGCAGCAACTTCAGCTAAAGAGAGACCACTAGCTGCAGCTGCCCCTGCAACCTGCGATTAGCAAGTGAGAATTCATATTATCATATACAAAAAGGGTAGTAAGGCTTCTGGTTTGGTGTTACCCAAAAAAAAACAGAGAGAGAAGATCATAAGATACAAACAAAAGACTTTTTCAACACTTCCAAATGGAACACTTACACGAAACTAGTCACATAAAGAACCAGTGACGCAATGCAATGCCGAATAGCTAATGCGAGTATTACAAGATATTTCAATTAGTTTATGACATGACAACATCATTTAACATGTGGACAATTTTCATATTAAAGTTTCCAATCATCATTTGCTACATGTTCAGATCATAAAAATGAATTGTACTATTACTTAGAAAATGTATTTTATGACAACTTTTCAAACCATTTACTCAGTCTTGCAACAACTAAACACCAAACACCAGAACAAATATGATGCTTCCTTAAATAAGCTAAGGTTACCCCTGAAACTTAAACGCAAAAACAGTTCAATAAACATAACAAACAAGAAAGAACTTGCATGTGCATAATCAGGTATAACTACTTAAACTATGTCCTAATATATGAATGCAGAAACTTCTGGATATAACAAATTGGTAAAGGGAAAGGGTTTTATAAGAAAAATACAAATAAACTGGAAGTTGGTCGAGATCAATGACAAATATACATATTATATGTGTATATAGGTCTAAAATGAGAAAATGAAAATCTAGTTCATGGGATGCGAAAGAGCACAATTGATCATGAAGAGAAGAAATAGAACCAACCTTATGAACGAGAATAGTTCCTGCTAAACCTCTTCTACCGGCAATGCCTCTTGGAGGTGGTAGAGCACAGTCATCACCAACAATTACCATCTGTACACATAGTATTCATGTATTAGCTATATTTAAAATTTGAGTTGAGTCATATGTATAGACATCAAGATATACCTCGACTTGATAACCTTCAGACTTAGCTTGCTCAGCTGCCAGGCCAAAATTCAAGCGATCGCCAGTGTAATTCTTTCATAAACCAATACAAAGCATCATCAGGAAATTTACATGCAAACTTTATAATATTTTTAAATGGTAACATTATAGGCTACGAGAAGGCTCATTCCTACATCAAATAAGTAATGAGCAACATATTTGAATTATAAACACTTAAACGCATATATATATATATATACACACACACACACATATACACTGCATAGCAAGATTATATATATTAACAACTACAGGGCAAGGCAGCATATCAAAATCACAAGTAAAATACCTTGACAATAAGGAGGCACCCTGAAGGACCAGTCACAGCTCTGATACCCTAATGCCAAAAAAATTAAAAAAATAACGCCTATCTTAGAAGGTTTGAAAACGAAAAATAATCTAAAATCAGAGGATTATATCATATATAGTGTAATTAGAAGTCTGCATACCGCAAGAATTGAGTCCACGGGAGGTGAGGCAAAAACATCCCCACAGATTGCTGCTGTGAGCATTCCTTCTCCAACAAATCCAGCATGAGCGGGCTCATGACCACTTCCACCTCCTATACATTGAACAACTTTCATCAGCTTCACCAAAGAATTAAATCAATTCTAGATCAAATTACAACTCTGTACAGTAGAAGTTCCTTATTCATATACATTAATGAACATATTTGGAACTTAAACTGCCACTAGTTCTTGTCTTTTCCGTAGACCCTCTACACATTCACATCCATTTATCTATCCATCCTACATAGAATCATCAATCTTACACTCCAATTGTGACAGCTATAAGTTGAAAAAATAGCTCAAGGATTGGTGTATTCAAGAGTGAAAATACTCGATTGTGACAACTATATTCGATCTCCAGCTATATTTGGAGAACATAAGCACTACAATAGAAAACAAAAATAAATTAATTAATAATGTTGTGAACCTGATATAACGGATACTTTGTCATACGTCAAGCCAGAAACATCAGCACGTAACACAACTTTAACCTACATAAAAAGACCAACCATTAGATGGAAAAAAACGTGTACAAGAAGACAATTATTTAATCTCACAAAAGGAAGAAAATGAAACTTTTCATAAAATTACTTCAGGAAAACCATCCAAATACTGCAATCCAGGATATGTTTCCACCAGACCTTCAATAAACTCTGTCACCACATCTGCAACCAGAAATACATAAATGAAATCTCAAATCTCAATCTCATTTCAGAAATAAAACCGCATTTAATATCTATGTCTATTTAAAGAGATGCATTACAGAGCAGATCAAAAAACATTCATATCTCATTTTCATGTGTTCATGATGATAAAACTAAAACACTATGTATGCATGCATTCTCAAAATCCAGCCCCCAAACAGACAGAAAAACAGTTCTTAAAGCACAGTGTATGGTATTTCAAACTTGTACCAAATGCATCAGTAATGGTACATTTCAATCCCCAATTTCCCCTCAAACAAAAACACTGAAAATACATTGCAAATTCCCACACAGATGATACCAAATAATTCATTATCCGCAAATTCTATTTTACAACAGGAAAAACAAAAAAAAAAAAAAATCATAGCCAGACAATAATTCCAGTGCAAATGCATGCACACACTCCCAAACCTCCCAAAAAAATCATCACATTCAATAAATTTCAATAATAAATCAAGGAAAACGAAAATGCAGATGAAAAATTGTGGAAACATAAAAATAAATAAAAAAAATAAACCGTTTGGGTCGTTAATGAGTTTCTTGCTGTGGAAATCCATTGATGAATGCGGGCGAACTGGAAGCGGATTCTCCAACGAGTGATCGGTAATGGCGGATGAGAAAACCCCTCACTTGTTTCTAGAGAGAGAGAGAGAATTTGATGAGGGTTTGGAAAAATTGGAGAAAAATTGGCTTCTTAAGAAAGAAAGTCACCAGAGTGTTGAATAAATGTTGATTTTTAATGAGGTTGCTTCTACGTACACGAAAATTAAAAAAAAAAAATCTCTTAAAATCTGATATTTAATCGCATCAACCTGAAAATCGTGTTAAACCCGAAAACGCGCTTCTTTAATTATTAATATCTTCGTCAACATGTGGGGAGCAAAAAAAGTAAAAAACTCTTTTTTTAATATTAAAAACTTTTGTCTCTATATATAAAAGAAAGAAAGTTAGGACAATATAAGAAATCTTAATAGTATTTTGTAATTGTTTTTTATTTACATATATCTTTTTTTCTTTTTTATCTCCTATTTTACACACACTTTATTTTTTCTAATTACCTGAACACCATATTTCCGCTACCACAATCGTAATTCACTACATTTTTTTTAATCTCCTATTTTGCACCATATTTCCTCTAAATACTTTCATATCAGATTGTTATTAATTTACCTAATGGCTTTTTTGTCATTATTTTTATTTTTCTAATTAATTTTCATTTTTTTCTACTTTCTTCTTATTAGTTGTAATTATTTATTTATTTTAACTTTTTTATTTATCTAACATCGTTGTAACTATTTTTGTTTCCTAATTATTTATTTTTTATTTTTTGACTTTCTTTGTTATTTTCCTTTCTTTGTCAATGACATCTTTGTAATTTTTTTTAGCTTTTTAATATTCTAAGAAAATCCTAATGATAATTTATAACTTTTTCTCCTGATTGTAGGTGTCAGGTGACTTTTCATTTAATATTTTCTTCAAATATACCCTTTTTTAATATCATGTGTTTAACTTATTATTTTCTTCACTTTTGGTTTGGCTCGTAATCTATTTTTGAGTTATTGCAATGCAACTTTTGTTTCTGCTTCTTAATAAATTACTTTAAGCCACAATCTCAAAACTATTTTACAAAAGATGAAAATTAAAATTTATCTTTGATATGCCTAATTGGGCCAACCCAATGGACTTACAATTTATTTACCTACTGGGCCACGAGCCCAATATTGAAGACTAATATCACCGAGGCCCAATCACCTTCAAATAAGGTTTGGGCTCAACGATCTCATCTATGGTATAAATAACGATATAATTCATTTGTTAAAGGTAAGCCCTATTATTTGAGTAATACTACTATTCGAATTCTCTCTACAATCATCGACTATCTTCACGTCTGACTTGAGCGTCGGAGGGGTTTCCGCCGGATCAACCCCCGGCCTAGTTCACGTATTCTTTGTTCGCAGGTATCTCAGGGCCATCTAGCACGTGAGCAGTGATCCACTTTGCTCTCCCAGCTCCTTCGATCTCAACTACTTAAGGTGATCTATTTTTAGCATCATCATTTTGGCGCCGTCTGTGGGAATCGAACCCACATAATCACGTAGCGCGCACGATGGCCTTGAGACATTTGCCCAGGGGGAGTGTGACACTGCTAACAACCTCCCACCTCGTGGAGGCTCTGGCTTGCCACATCCTCCTCCTCGTGCTCGGGATCCACCACGAGACCTTCCTCGGATGTCCCACCAGATCCTCACCAGGATTCACTTCTTCCCGCCCCTCGATCGGTTCAGACAACCGACGAGGCCCTTCAATGCTAGCATGGGTTATAGACTCCCTGGGGGCTTACCTCTGCCCCGAAAATATTTCGTTCGCCAAGGGTTATCGACTCCCTGGGGGCTTACATCTGCCCCCAAAATATTTCGTTCGCCAAGGGTTATCGACTCCCTGGGGGCTTACCTCTGCCCCCAAAATATTTCGTTCGCCAAGGGTTATCGACTCCCTGGGGGCTCACATCTGCCCCCAAAATATTTCGTTCGCCAAGGGTTATCGACTCCCTGGGGGCTTACCTCTGCCCCCAAAATATTTCGTTCGCCAAGGGTTATCGACTCCCTGGGGGTTTACAATGCCCCCAAAATATTTCGTTCACCAAGGGTACGTGATCGCCACATCATAAGTTGGGGGTTATCCCACCCCAAGGTTAGGCATCTCACCCCAAGGGTACGTGATCGCCTCATTCTAAGTTGAGGGTTATCCCAACCCAAGGTTAGGCATCTCATCCCAAGGGTACGTGATCGTCTCATCCTAAGTTGGGGGTTATCCCACGCTAAGGTTGGGCATCTCATCTCAATGGTTGAACTCCACCCTTACTTTTCAACCTCAAGCGGGTTCACATCCCACATCTCCATCCGGATTTACATCACTCTCGGATTCCTCTGATTCTTCACTATCACCCCTAAAATCTACAAATTGGGATCTAAAACGTCTCCTACTAGCACCAACACATCTATAATATTGGTAATTCCATTATTCGATGCCAAATTATGATCCGGAGAAGAAACAAGTTGACGCTCCGCGAAAACGGGCGAAAAAGGACCAATAACGCGCCTCACGCGCGAATCAGCCCTACCCCACCCCACCCCAGCCCCCACCCCCCCAACCA